GTCTTAAGTAAAGATCTAAAAGAAAACAATGATGCAGCCTGTCTAATATTTAGTGGAAGGGCATTCCACAAACTGGGAGCCCTGACCATAAAAATGCAGAAATGTCAGCTGAAATAAAAAAAAAAATATCCTCTATGTCAATAGAAAACTAAACCCATTTAGCCTCCAGTGATAACTATTTGTTTGCCTCTGTTTCCAGGAGTCAGAAAAGATCATTGCTGAGCTCAATGAAACCTGGGAGGAAAAACTACGGAAGACCGAGGCGATCCGAATGGAGAGGTCTGTATAACCAGACCAGATTTGCTCATTTACCTCTGGATCTCTCAAGTGGGGAAATGTGTGTCCTACATGTGCATCCACCTCCATCAGTCTTAAYTGGGATTCAGAGTCTGTCTGAATGGCATGTCAAACGGTCTGTTAGCTTTGGGAAATCTCCCCCACACCCTTTAAAAATGGGTGTGTGTCATCCATTGTCCTTAACTTGTCAAATCAGAAGACCCACAGTTCATACCTACCTTGAACTGTGTGGCTGACTGATGTCTCTCTTTTCCTGTTCGTGTCACCCAGCTTTTTGAAAGAGCTGTATGTACCGTAAATGCAGTGCTCTTAGTGTTCCTTGGAGAGACTACTTGAAAATATGCTCTGAAAGCTGTAAATGATGGGTCTCCCTTCTCTGCTTTCCTGTGTTGTTCAAAATAGACTATTAATGTTTGATTTCTAACATTGTCAGATAGCAAGTTCCTAAAACCTGTAATGTATTAATTCAACAGCCCTGCAGTGATTTGTCTTTTCACTGATCTTTGTTTTGTTTCCTTTTTTTAAATCTGCACTAGTGCTGTCTATGTCCCCTGTTTTCATCATCACACACCGCTGCACAAACACCCTTCTCCTATGTTTTTTCCTTCTTGAGTCACTCATTCGTGGCTGCAGACTGCAGCCCGTCTATTTTCTGAGTCATACCACAGACCACTTACTCTAATGTTGAATATTCGCTCTCATCCTTGTCTGCTTTTCTACAAAGATGACCTTTGTAAAAAAAAAAAGAAAGAAAGAAAAATGTGTAAATAAATCCTGGTGCTATAAATCCATGCAAGAGAAAATACACAACATGCTGTGAAACGATCAGTGTTTTTGTGTATTGCTTTTTACAGAGAGGCTTTGCTGGCAGAGATGGGTGTGGCGATTCGTGAAGATGGCGGCACTTTAGGCGTGTTCTCTCCTAAAAAGGTAGGATGGAAAAAAAAAAGGTCAAGACACAAGCACTGAAGCAGGAGTGATTTTTCAAATATCCTGTGGGTGGGGATAAGTTACCCATCCTCCATTATTTAAATTTTCCATGTCATCTTTTTTTCCCCCAATGATGATCCTCCCTGTACTGTCTGGTTTGTGTCCTCTCTTTATCATTTTATGTTCTTTTTATTCTCTTACACTTTACCGACTCAGCTTAGCCACGATGGGCCACTTGATGATCAGTTTGATTGTTTATCTGCCAAGAAGGTTTGTCTAACTGAATGGATAGACAAAGCAACTTTCTTGCACTAGATTTAGCCTCATAGCTGACAGTTAAGTCTTTAAATGTAGCTTAGCATAAAAAATGTTCATTATTATTTTTAATTTATATGTTTCTGGACTACTTTTTATTTAATTGAAGTTAAGTCATTTAAACTAGGCTCTTATGGGAATGTAATGCTTTGTTCTAAGTAGATGATTCAAACCTTCCCCATAGCTGCCAAGATCTCTGCTGCATTAGACTGATTAGATTACAGGAAGTGGTGCTTTCTCCTCACTCTTCATATCTTTCTTGCAAGTAGCATCAGCATTGTATGAGAACAGCATAGAGGTGCCTGTTAGCAAAATCACCATTAAAACAGAAAAGATTAGATTAATTTAAAACGATAAGCACATCACTTTGGGGAAGCAGTTTTTTTTTTGAGGGGTGGCAATGATTTAAAACCTCGTAATTTTTTTTATCTTGTAATTGTTTTTTCCTGTTTATTTAAATCTTTATATCCATCATTTTTACTTTCTTTCTTTATTTCTTTCTTTTCACTCTTCCCTCCCCGGGTTAGCATTTCAGAGAGAAACCTTGTGATCTCTATACAGACTTTAATGGGGTATTTTCCCCAAAAAAGGTTGGTTGTTTGGAGTTGTAGCATATAGATTTAATGGTAGAAGCTCATAACTGAGCGTATGTACATTGTGTCTCTGAAAGGAGCGGCTGTGTTTGATGTTTGATTTTTAGTGTTGACGTTATTTCCACACAGTTTATTATTGATGTAAGAGTGTTTCTGGGATAAACTGCTGATCGTTTCTGTTCATCTGCAGACTCCCCACTTGGTCAACCTGAACGAGGATCCTCTCATGTCGGAGTGTCTGCTTTACTACATCAAAGATGGGATTACAAGGTAAAAAAAAAAAATCTGAATGAGAAAACTCATATTCTGCAAAGAAACATGGAGGGGGGTAGATTTATGTTTTATTTTATGAAAGAGGAACTTTGCATCAGTAGGTTAAAATTTGTCTGATTCAATCATTTTTGTCTAAGATTATTATCTTCTCCTCACTGTTCATTTTGTTCTAAATACTATTTTAGGCATTATTTTACATTTCCAGTAACTGATTCAAGTATTGAACGTTTTTGCGGACCTTAGTAATGATTAAAAGGTCCCATTTTATTTCTGACACAGATGTTTTTAACAGAAATAGTTGCCAATGCGTTAAAAGAGCAGATGCACTGTGTTCAAATGGCCTCTGGTTGTTTCAGAGTGGGTCAGGCTGATGCTGAGAGAAGGCAGGACATTGTTTTGAGTGGAGCTCACATCAGAGAAGAACACTGCATCTTCCGCAGCGAGAGGAACGCCAACGGAGACGGTGAGAGCTCATTTCATCGGCTTTATTTGCTTACATGTTTGTGTTGGTGAAAAATTACACCACTTGTGACAGTAATCCCAGCCTACAATCCAGAAGATATTTGTCTTTGTTTGTATAAAGACTTGCTTTACGGATTTACTAAAGGCTGCTGTGTTTGTTTTTTTCTGAAGTTATTGTAATGCTGGTGCCCTGTGAGGGATCAGAAACCTACGTCAACGGAAAACGTGTCGAGGATGCAATCCAGCTTCGTTCAGGTATATTTAAAGTTCATGAACAAAATATAAATATCTGTGTCATCTCTGGAGGTTTTGCTGATACAGCCGATTTGATCATATCTATAATTTAAGATGTTTGAGGTGTGCTTTTCTTGAGGACTTTATGTTTTCCTACAGGCAACCGGATCATTATGGGAAAGAACCATGTGTTCAGGTTTAACCACCCAGAGCAGGCCAGAGCTGAAAGAGAGAAAACTCCAACCGCTGAAACTCCTGTGGAGCCTGTGGATTGGACGTTTGCTCAGAGAGAGCTGCTGGAGAAACAGGGTATCGACATGAAACAGGAAATGGAAAAAAGGTACTCAGTCTGTCGTTGTTTTATTAACAGTCTACGTAGTTCTGCAGTTCCACATATGAAAGGTGTCAAACAGATATTTAATGTTCTTCACAATGTATTTTACACATGTGCAGGCTCACTGAGATGGAAATCTTATACAAAAAGGAGAAGGAAGAAGCAGATCAGCTTCTGGAACAGCAGCGACTGGTGAGTTTCGCTAAACTAGAAATAATGGCGCCCACTTTTTGACTTTTATTGATTTAATTTATTTTCAGTTGTTATTATTTATAGGGGTTTGAGGCAACTTTGTGCACATTGGGTTTAAGTTATAATATAGTGTTTCATGTATCCTAACTAGAAGCAGCCTTTTGAGTATTTTAGCTAGTTTGGTATTTGTGCGATTTCAGTTGAAATGTACTTTTTAGGAATATAAGTAGAATTCAAATTGATCGTTGTTTATGGTTTATTATATTTAGAGAGCGCATGTTTGTTTCTAATTTGATAGTTTAAATTGTTAGATTTAAAACTGAATAGTACTAATTTTTACTTTGAGCGCTTACGCTTGAGATTTATGTGTGAAACATATTTTTACTTTAAAAGCATGTCTGCTCTTCTTGCATGGAAGTTTTCCTGTTTGAGACGGATGAGCTTTTACTTGCCTTTCCCTTGAGTTTAACTGATTTTCATTAGCAAATTGAGAATTAGGTTGTTAAGCTTTCCCCTTTCCAAATTCTTGTTTTCCTTTTTCTTGCATCTCTTAAAGTGGTTCTGAATCTTGCAAAACAGCAGCCTTAAACCTAAATTTGACCTAAAGATTTAAATGATTTGAAACTGACTCAGACTTGGTAACTGATGTGAAGGTGCTGCTTTTGCATGATTTATGTTAATAGCATGTTTTTTCTAACTTATTCAATACTGGTTCTGGACTAAGTTGCAGTGTTTGTTGTTGAGTTGGTCAACTCTGAAGAGGCTGTTGTTTTACTTTGATTAGACTTCTTATCTAGTTTTCTTGCTCTGATTTTTTTTCCTGAGTTTCATCTCTTCAATGCAGTTGCTGACACGTCCAATGCATTGTGATAACTAAATTTCCTGCTGTAGTTTTTGACAGATAGAGACAATGTGGTTTCTCATTGACTTCTTCTACCTCTCTCCTTTGTCATTTGCACAAGCACACTGAATGCACGGTTCCACAACAAAGTTATCACTGCTCACAATTGAATCAATATATTCTGGTGGTTTTACGTGCAAACATAAGTTTCATATTCTGAGAGACATAACATGACAAATTCTGGCCACAAACAGTGTCTCATTCACAAGAGCTGAACGTCTGTACCATCTGGTTGTGATCTGTAATGTTCGTTGTCTACAAAAATGAGAAACTGCATTTTTTTTTTCCAACTAACAACTTCTTTTTGTAGTGAATTAACTTTTAACCCCACTTTTGTTCGTTCTCTCTACTGGCTTTCTGATCAACTGCAAGAACACTGTCTTCTAACTCACTGCTAATACTAAAGCCACTGCTGGACTAAAAGGGGAAAAGCTCTAAAGTCCATCTACATGCATGCCACTGTAGCATGTTTGGGATCCAGCTTTCTAATCACAAAACTTTCAGTGAAGAAGAGGAAACATTACAAAACATTACAAAAGTTCTCCAATAAGCAACTATTTTCTATTGATTTCTTTCTAATCATGATAGACATGCTTTACTTTTATTTTTAATATCAATATGCAACATTGGGAACTAATTTTTTAATACTATACACCCAATACAGTGTAAAWAAAAAAAATAAGAAAATGAAAAGTAAGATTTTTTATTGTTAATGTTTAGTAAACATAAATTCGTATGTTTAAGTCCACTTTACCACAAAATATGTTCAAATAAACCAGAAAGAAAGTCAATGAAGCCACAATTTTTTGTTCATTTGATTTTTTATTTATTTATTTTTTGTATTCTGTCTTTGTCTTAGTTATATTTCTTTAAACATTGCATGGTGCCATACATCTTTTACAGCACTGATGTATGCAAAATACATTATTTAAAAAGTCTGTCATCTTTAGAGAAAATATCAGCAATTTAATTAATAGAAAAGATCATCCTGTCCTGAATTAACTTCTAATTAGTTTGTGATTTAAGTTCCCGTGTTGCATATTCATACTTTTTTATTCATTCTTTTTTGTTTAAACCATCCTCGCCCTGATTTCCCATTGTAATTCTCTTTTTTTTTTTGGGAACCATTTGGTTTGTGTCCTGTGTTGTTTTCTCAAGGATGGAGACTCTGATAGTGGGGATGACTCTGATAAGAGGTCTTGTGAGGAGAGCTGGAGACTGATAACTTCTCTGAGGGAAAAGCTACCTCCCAGTAAGCTGCAGACCATAGTAAAAAAGTGTGGCTTACCCAGCAGTGGGAAGAGAAGAGAGCCAGTTAAGATGTACCAGATCCCCCAGCGACGCCGCATCACCAAGGACTCCAAGTGGGTGACCATCTCTGACCTGAAGATCCAGGCGGTCAAAGAGATCTGTTATGAAGTAGCACTAAACGACTTCCGCCACACAAGGCAGGAAATTGAGGCGTTGGCTATTGTGAAGATGAAGGAGCTTTGTGCGAGCTATGGCAAGAAGGACCCCAACGAGCGGGACTCGTGGAGGGCAGTGGCTCGAGACGTTTGGGACACGGTTGGAGTTGGTGATGAGCGCATCGAGGATGTTATCACGAATGGGACTCGACCCGGAGGAGCCGTTATGGATGATTTAAAAGTACACATCGATAAACTTGAAGACATCCTGCAGGAGGTGAAGAAACAGAATAACATGAAGGATGAGGAGATTCGCGCGCTCAGGAACAAGATGGTGAAAATGGAAAAGGTTCTCCCCCTCATCACCACAGAGGGCCAAGAAAAGCCCCCTCCTCCCAGCGTGGATTCTCCAAGCATGACCAGAACTCCTAGCCCTCGGGAACTAAATTCTCCTGTGCCAGAAAAGGTTGACCAAGAGGATGCGGATTCACAATCCAGCCAGAGTACAGAAGATGACGCCACCTTAAAACGAGGCCACATGCGCTGGATGCGCCAAGAGCAGGTACGCCTCAAGAATCTCCAGCAACAAGAGATCTCCAAGCAGCTCCGCCGCCATACCGGACCACACCGCTTTATACCTCCAGAAGACCGCAAACTGCGCTTTCCTTTCAAAAGTAACCCCAAGCACCGCAACTCATGGAGTCCGGGTACTCATATCATAATTACAGATCAGCAAGTCGTAGAGCTAAAAGTGCCCAAAGAAGCTGTGGAGGAGGAAGAAAGAGAAAGCCAGACAGAAGAAGTTGTACAACCAAGAGATAATATGGCTGCTTCGGTTATCCACATGACTCCTCCTCTGCCAGCCCCAGCAGCTCAGCGCAGAAGTAAAGACTTAGAGCAAGGCGTAAACCAGGGTCATAGACATAACTATAGAAACAATCAACACCATCAGCCCCATGAACGAGGCCGCAGCAACTCGTTCAATCACCGTCAGCGACCTTCCAGCTCTGCTGAGTTACTGCAGCCGTCTGAAAACAGGAGGCACACACAAGCCTTCTACCAGCCCCGTCACCACCAGAACCAGCCAGTGCTCCCATCGTCTCACTACCAACACCAGCCGTGTCACTACAGTAACATGATGTACACAGAAGGTGGCTTCCAGCAGTACCATCGCACTGACCATGCTAACCCTCCAGTCAAATTTCAGGCGCCTCCGCAAATGCGTAGGCAAATGTCCGCTCCTAATCTAAAAGCCAGCAGAGAGACAGCAGTTTGATTTTCTTTTTTTTTTTTTTAATTATTATTGTTTTTGGAGTGAAGAACTAGTTTCAGACACTTTGACTTGACAAACACATTACAGATCACAACAGCAAAACTGACTGTGGCTATGCACTCGATCTGTGTGTTACTGGTTTAATTATTGTATGTACTGTTTGAAACAAAAAGACATTTCACATCATCGCCATGATATTCCTCATTTTATCAGTTTTTGCTACGGTGTGTGTGTTTTGTCATCAGTAGCATTGGGGGAGTCATCATAAGGATTTAAAGCCAGCAGATGATCAGAGAGGAAAGGTTTTTTTTTTTTTTGTCTTTTGTGCAAGAGAGAAAATGTCACGCCTGTTTATCAGCATGTGCGACAATTCATGAATCATGCTTTGATTTGCCAAATTCTGCTAAAGGTTGAATTTTTTTTTAAGTTTACATTTTTACCATTTTAGTATTGAGTGATGATTATTGATGAATGTTTCAAGCCACTACATTATGACCTGCCGTTGCCCAAGTGTGAAACCGAAAACGGCTCATATTTATTTTTCTGTTTATCTTGAACTGAATGTTAGGTTGAGAGAACACATACTTGTGGCAGCATCTATTATTGTATCTCATAAAAGCATCATTCATATATCATCATTGGCCTTAATTAGCAATCAAAAGTTATTTTTAAACTTGTATTGGAAGTAACTTGAAGCAACTATTGTGTTTTTTTTAAACTGAGACTGAAATAATGGTAACTTTAAAAGGTATTAAAGTGCTTTATAGTGCACTCACTTTAATAATGAGACTTTCAGTTGTTTCTTTGTGTGAGCAGGGCTTCAGCTTAATTTTGTGCAGAAAAAAAAAAATCATAGCACCAAAATTGTCTTTTTATAACATACTGATTCACTGAAACCGTCTAAGGTAACTGCTTTGTTCCTTTATTGTTTATTTCTTTTTATGCATTGATTAGGTTTAAATCTGTAACTGCCACTACTTGTGTTACAGCAGTTTGCACTTAAGTCATGGGTAAGCTGATGAATTAGCCTGGGAGCACACTAATGGTGACTTTACACTTCACTTGATTCCTTAAGTTTTTAAACCCCACCCACAAGGTTATTTTTCTTGACGAGAGTTATCTTTGAGTCCTCACTTGGAGTTCTGTGAACCAYTGAACAGAAACATGCAAGGACACTGAAATATCTCACATTTCAAAGGAAATTGCAACTCTAAAAGTTACTTTGTAAAGTCTAGACATTTCAGAAGAAATTTTTTTGTATCAAAGTAACACATTAGACTGACCAGTGATTTTGATTTGATTTTTAAATGAGTTTTGTGGTTCATCAAATAAGCACAGAACTCTGTGTGTTTAATGGATTCCCACTGGGCATTGCCATGGTTTCCAAAGTCTGGCCTTAAAAAAATGTTGGAAGAGAGACAAAGACTCAAAATGTTTGCATAATTGTTATTCAGGAGAAATATCCATATCAAAAGACATTTTGAGAACTGCCTTGTATTAGCTTAGTACAGTCAACTTGAAAATAGAGTGTTTGTACATAGACTCAGCTACCTGTGTATTTTTGTGTTTTAGCTGATGTTTTTGGTTTAGCAGCAAGCTAACCTTTTTTTTTTTCTTGCTGCACTTGTTGCTTTAAAAATCCCATGAACCATTGCTACTTAACTACAGGTGTCCTTCAGAAAATTCAGCCACATGGGAGAGGCCTTTTCAAAACTATCAAAATGTTAATGGAGTGATAAACATAYATATAGTTTTATACTTTTATGTTCTGACCGTATATAAATATATATTCTGCCTAACTATGCCACTTTGACTATCCTTGCATGCAAAAGCTTATGTTTTTTCAGCCTTAATAATCGCTCCTTTAACAAATGTGATGTAGCTTTTGCAACCGGGTAAGCTGGAAAGTATACCCTATAAAATGAACTGTTGTACAGTCCAGTGTTGTTTTGACAAATCCATATACCTGTCAGGTTTCAAATCATCGTCTAAGTGTTGTAAGTCTGTCTTTTGAACCAACAGTGTGTGTGTTTCGTTTAGTATTTCAATTTTTTTTGTTGTGTACAAAGTTGTGCTGCTTCTTTATCGAGCATTTTGTCCAAACATATTTGAAAGAGTATTATTTTACACATTTAAAGGACAAGTGAAAGGATATAGCACATTTAAGTGTTGCTGGAGGTTTGTTTTCGAGAACATGACTGAAATAAAGTGACCTGCTTCATGTGCAGTTATTTGTACCTAATTTGTTGTGTTTATTTGCTGCTACAGAGACAGAATCAGAAGATATGTATGAAATACATATAGATCAGGAATAAAGATGTAAAAAACCCTCAAGTTAAAATGACTGTATTTATAGTTCTATCAAAAACTTTATTACACTTTGTTTTTATTAGTACAACCTTATATCTTGAAGTAAGGTTTAAAGTAGTGTTTATGAACACATATAGGCGGTTCCTTTATAAAATAAAAATCCTTTCAAACATGGTTAGCCATGTGAAACAACTTAATTGTGGCTTATTTCAGAGAATTCTATCAGCTTTACTTATGAAGTGTTTTTTCTGAGAAACAGAGACTTGGGGTTGTTGGTAGGACTGCAGCAGGGAGAAGGTCAGCCACGAATGAAAAGGCTGCATTGTTTTCCCAGAAGACTGTGAACAAACAGGATGAGGTCATTGGGACCACAGCGTGTCCTTCTCTGATGCTGCTGATGATGGCGCCCCTCATTGGATTACAGTTGACTCAGCTTCGGCCAGCACCTTTCATTCTCCACTGCAGCCATTTCACTGGTTCAGAAATTGAGTCGTTTCATTCCTTGCACCACTTCCGGAATTTTATTTTTCACTTTTCAAATAAAAAAGAAAGTCAGTTTGTGTTTCAGCTCTTTGTTTTTTATGCTAATTAGTTATTCATTAAGATTAATAATTTTAAGTTATACAATTTCTGAAAAGTTAATATTTTGCACACAGTACATTGAAAAATTTGGCAGCTTTTTAAATATAAAATAACGGAGCAAAATTGAACAAAAAGCATTGATGAGCAAGTATTTATTCTCCTTTTTACATTATTAATCATCTGAAATCCACAGTTCCACATTCATGAACATGTTTYATGTTCAAGCTGATAAAGTCTCAATCCAGCAGCGCTGGTCTAATAAACATGAGACCCGCTGTGGGGCGTATTCTGGTTGAGCTGCGGTTCTCATGGCTCTCGGAGCTCGCCTGTCGTTGCAGCTGATGGACAGCTGTCTGTGTTCTCCTGTGTGTTGGTGTCCAGGTTTACGAGAGCAAACTGCAGGAACTTCAGAAACAGGTGGAGACTCGCTCTCTGGTAGCAGAGACACCTGATGAGGAAGAGCTGGAGGAGGAAGAGGAGGAGGAAGGTGTGTATGACTGGGATTTTAGCCCTGAGGAGATTTCATTTCTGCAAGCCACAAATGTAGTTTGTATAAAAATAACTTTTTTTTGGTTGCCACCATTTGTCTCCAGAGCCAAAATTACTTGGATGTGCGTATATACTTTTATTTATTTAGCATAATATCACCTGTTTTAAAGCATTAATGATATGCTACTAATCATCCATTAAATCATATCAGATATAAACATCTTCTAAATAATTTTAAATTAAACACATTTATAAACTAACAGTTCGCTTAAAATCCAAAGAACCATTTTTAAAGTTTGTGATGTTTGAGCCCATAAACATCTAGTTAACATCTTCTARCCATTGTTTCACTTTAGCTAATAATTTCAACTTAACTATAAGTGTTGTGTCATCTAAGCACTCTAGGTAGCTTAGGTTGTAGATCAAACTGCAGTTGACAAGTTTTTGTCTAAAGAATTAGAAGAAAACAAAAAAAATTGTTTAGCTTGGATTTTTCAGAAGCACAGCTTATTTTCCACATCTTTCCAAATTGATTTTTAATTTTTTTTTAGAAATTATGCTTTGGAAAATCCCTGAATACTTTATACCCTAAAATTCAGTCGGAACTTGCAGGAAAAACGTACAATAAAGGTGCTAATATTTTGTAAGATGCTTAATTTTGCTATGCTTCACTACCTTGAAGCAGAATAGATCTATAGAAGAATGACAGTCGAAACTCCTGGTAAGGTGCTTTTTAAGGGGTGTTGGAAATATTTGCTCTGCATGTGTTTTTAATCTGTGCTATGACTAATACATTAATGTCACGTCTGTCTTCTGTGCTTCCACAGTGCCGTGGACTCAGCATGAGTTTGAGCTGGCTCAGTGGGCCTTCAGGAAGTGGAGGTACCATCAGTTCACCTCTCTGCGAGACCAGCTGTGGGGCAACGCCGTCTACCTGAAGGAGGCCAATGCMATTAGTGTGGAGCTAAAGAAGAAAGTAAGCAAATCTACACTCACCGGCCACTTTATTAGGTACACCACGCTAGTAACGGGTTGGACCCCCTTTTGCCTTCAGAACTGCCTCAATTCTTC